GACTGCAAAAATATCAGTTTGGTGTTAGCGTAATTGATCTCTAGAAAAAGTTTTCAAAAATCGGTTTGCAAAACCACTCACTACCTCACCTAACCCCACGAACACACGGCACTGATAAAGAAATATTGTGAAACGGACAAAAAAATTAGTATTCAGCCAGTCCAGCTAGCAGAGCCTTTATTCCTCAACTACATTTGATAGCACGTTCACTGTCTGGGCGACTAGGGGCCACAGGCAAGAAATGTTTATGACTGAACTCCTATTTTTATTGCCGTTCCAATTGGGAATGGATAGACTATAACATGTTCCAGACTATCGAGGTTGCAAGCAAAGCTATATATTGGATTCTTGGTTTTTTCCAATAAGTCGTTGATATAAAATAAAAAGAGGGTGTTTACTAACTATCTGGGCGACTAGGGGCCACAGACAAGAAATGTTTATGACTGTACTCTTATTTTTATTGCCGTTCCAATTGGGAATGGATAGATTATAACATGTTCCAGACTATCGAGGTTGCAAGCAAAGCTATATATTGGATTCTTGGTTTTTTCCAATAAGTCGTTGATATAAAATAAAAAGAGGGTTGGAGGGTTGGTATATTATTTGACAACAAACATGTTGAAGAATTTCATAACAACTTTGATTCTATGAAATGTTGAATTCACTATCAGTTACAGAAGAGGACGAGTCACTCAGTTATCCAGAGAAATCAATGGAAATAAACCCGAAGACAAATTAGATTGTCACGAACTGTGTTAACCCTTCTTGTGGTCCCAACTTGTAATTGATTTGAAAAAGTTCCAGATTATTTTCATTTTTATTGATTTATATACTTATCCAGCTCACCCAGTCACGCAAATTTCAACAAATGTTTCTCATCGTTCTATACCCGGTTGTCTTCCCAGACAGGTACACCTGTTGCTGTGTCATATTTTATCAAATATGACAAAGCGCTGCTTTTTCAGATACCGCACTTATTTGTCTTTGATTACCGATGGGCCCCAGGCGGGGTGCAAGTGCCGCGAAATGGGCGCGGCTCCAATTAATCTGCGGCTAATGAAGGAACTTAGAAAAATTAATCAGTCGCCATAGGCGTGATGTTATCGCGACGATGATTTAGATTGCTGGTAAGTGGATATTGTTGAGGCTACTGCCAAGCTGGTCGTTTTCTAATTGTATTTTCCGCCAGCGGGAATGTCGTGTTCTTGAAATATAGTTAGTTGTTGGTCAATTCGGTTTGGGAAAGCAGTTGATTTCTAGAGGAGTCCAAAGTAGATCAATCAATCAATCATGTTTGAGGCAGAAGAAATAGCTTGAACGAATAACCAGCTTCAGACCTCTCAAGATATGAAACCAGGCCCAAAAGTCGGAAAACTATTTGAACCATACGTTTTCTGATGAGTTTTTGAATCTAACCGCCACTGAGTTCGCACAAGATGAAACTCGGTTGTTGGAAAGTCTAGGGATATTTTTAAAAATGGCAATATTTTTTTTTAGATCGCTTTAGGGAAAAATTCCCTGGATGTTGTTCGGTTGGACTACCAGTTTCACGGAAACGCCGCCACAATCGACTGATAACCACTTTTATAAATAAAAGTGGTAAAAAACATAGAAAATTTCAATTCTCTTTTCTTCATTATGATTTCCTACCACGTAGTAGCGGTTGCATCCATCAAATTATTCATAAAAATTGATTGATTTGGTAATTTGATGATTTCAAATCCAAAAACATATTGTTCCACACTGTATTCCATTCCGTACTAGAATCACACCATTTCAACATAAATCTACCACCCCCACAGTTATCTTCCCATAAATGTGCGCTACAACTCATGTCACCGTTAGTCATAAAGTCAGAATCTCAAAGTAGGTGTGAAATTAAAATCGACGAAGAATGAATACTGGCTTTGGGTAATTGGTTTTCCGTTCAAATAGTATTCCTAAACATACTTCGAAGTTGATTTATCACTGAATGGAAAAGTGTCTGGGAAGTGTTTTCTTAACCACGACCAGTTTTACAGATTTAGTGTCGTTGATTTTCAGATGGAACGACGTTTTTTCGAAGCCATGTATAGATAATAGACAAGTGAATCGCAACAGATCAGTTGTCACCTGAGGGTGAGTGTGGATATTGACTGTCGAAACGTTATGAAGATTACTTTATTGTCGGAGCGACAAAAGTTGTATCGACAAAGCATGAAATGTACTATCCGAATGTGTAAATACATATGTTTAAATATATGTTTGAAATATGTTAACCAGCTGTCGTACACCTACGAACGACAACCCTCAGAAGTCGAAACTTGTGTGAGCTAAAGACTAACGAGGTGCTACCTTTCAACGTGTGATTCCTAAAACGGGTTGGACGATGGCAAGTGAAAATCGATCATTCAGCCTGTGGCTTGAACCAGCAGAGTTGCCAACCGTAGCGGAATTTACTCAATGGTAGCGGATTTGAGCATAAATTAGCGAAATTTTCTACAAATAATTAATATTGAAAAAAATATGGAAGAAGAAGAGGCAGTGGATAGCACTCGAAGCTGACAGCTGACGATTGAATAATTGAAGTCAACACGTTAGTCTTAGTAGCCGAGGCCATTATATGATGAAAAAGAAGAAGAATATTTTTGGACATTTTCAACCGTATCATAAACCTCACGAGTGTTATGAATTATATGGAACAAATTACAGTGGAAATGGAAGATAGTTCATCTGATTGTAGCTCAAGCGGAAGAGCTGCCGCAGTTGAAATTGACGGGAACGGGACATGTTCAAAAAAAATACAAAAGGTCTCGAAAACAAACTTTTCCTCAACATCGGATGTCTGATTTCAACTTGAAAGGATATTTGGTTGAGACAAAGCTTTCATAAATGAACTGCTGTAAATTTAGAAAATTAGGTAACATCTAATGAGTTGCGCATCTATCATTGTTTGGGTTACTTGGTTTGTTGGATGGACAGAATTCAGATCATACTGTTTCGAATTTGGATAACCGATGGCGGAGTTAACGGTGTATGATGATTCGTAACTTTGCAACCAAAAGGGGATTGAAACAGCTCCAAAGTTGGTTATCACGGTTTCACAAAGTTTGTAATATGTAAGAGAGAAATTTGTTCAAGGAAATGAAACATTTAGAATAGAATTGAACCAAATCATTTGCCAAAGAAGCGCATTTCCGTTTCCATTCGATTTAGGATTTTTTGTGATCGACTATGTAGATAAGAATCCAACCGTGTTACTCTTGTCACAGAAAATATTGTTAAAGATGCATAGAAACCCTAGTGTTCGAACCAATTAGTTTTGTTCTGTCAAAAACGCACGACGCGCGAAATGAGATTGGGCCAACTTTGTGCACATGTCAACAGATGGAGCAAGAATAGAAATATATTGCTCGTATTTGATACTGTCACTACTGATACCTTGAACTCGCTTCATTTAATCTCGTTTGACTTTTCAAAAGTTGTTCAGACAGATCTTTGGAAGAAAAACACAAGCAATTTTCATTCACACCGTTTCCTGGTAATTCGATCTACCGATATTTTCATAATTGATAATAGGTTTTAATTATATAATACTCATCTGATTGATAAAGATATTATGTTTTAGGATGTAAGCATTTTAAATTGTTTGACTTGCCATGTTTTAAAAAAATTTAAAAAACATTCATTTAGTAACGTTGAATACGATATCAATGAGATGAATATATTGCAACCGTTTCCTTTACAATAATCATCAGTCAGTGATAAAATTGATACTCCAGAAAAATATAGGAACCCGACACTTTTTTTCATGTCATTCTTGATTATCAACCACATTCGTGTCTCTAAATCTTATTGATGACTACAGTTGGATTCTTTACAAAAAAACTAATTTCAATATCTATCATGCGGCCTCGAAAAAATTAATTTTTCCCGGACCACCGAAGTGGATCTCTATAATTTAGTTGACGTTTATGCATCCAATAAAATCGTTTCTATTATTTTAATCCTTCGTCGGTCGGTAATAAAATTCGGAATAACACTCCATGGTCGACGATATATTTGAATTCAGATTATTATGCCTGGCAATTTATACGACCGAGATGATCAGAAACCGAGGATAATAGACCTTTACACTTTTCGAAAATGAAAAAATCAGAATATTCCGTTGGTTCTATAAGTGAATGGTTCATTCGTCAGGAAGTAACACCTAAACTTTTCCATATCGAATATTAAAAATATAAAGTATTTCTTTCGTAGTACAAAAGTCTTCTCAATTTCGAAACTACCCATCAAATCGGCCTCAAAAACAAGTTGGCCATGTCCCACGTACTGTCATGTCAGAACAACAAAAATACAGGAAGAAGAAGAATGAAATTAAATTTTTTGCAATATTTTATCGTGTTCCCAAATTCATATCAAATGTTAGTGACGTCGCGAATAATTTTTACTCGATTTTGAAAAAACTAGTGACAAACAAATTGTAGTTTTCACCCTAGCGGTTGTCCAAATATTAGTTTGAAAGTCCATTCACTGAAATTGAATAATGGTTCATTTCATTCGGAAGGTGGGAAGACACTGAAACGAAATAATTTCTTCTCAATGGGTTTAAGGGAATATGCGTATGTATACAGGATCATTCAAGTTTTAGTCTATTTTAGGCTTATATAGAGTATTTTAAAACATTGCAAAGTTGCCCATGTTTGAGTACCTTATAATTAATGATGAGTCGACAGTTTAACAGTTTTTTTTAACCGAAGGGTGAGCTGATGGGGCCCTGGCCCGACACATTCCCCACACCGTGAGGTAAATGGAAAATCTGCACCACGAATGCTTTGTTGTTCGACTCTTGTTAAAATTTACATAATCTACAGTTTGAAGTGGGTTTTCAATTGTGTTCCACAATCTAAAAAATGAATAAACGTAGACTCACAGAGAATTTGCTCTAGTTCAATAAACGACAAACTGAAAATTCACCCCGAAAAGCTACTGTCCAAAATAAATCTCTGTTTTTTTTGCAGTGTACTTTTATCAAGATTTTTACTGTTGGTATGATACTTGTGGCGGCATCTGTGATTCGGAGGTGAAACTGAAAGGAGGGAAGTTAGGTGACATCTTTGGTCGAATTTCAATAACAAAATCCTTCTCAAGCCAGACAAATATCCAGTTTTCAAATCATGGAAAACAATAATCAGCGGATATCTAAGCTATCTTTGGAAGCAACTGAAATTAGTTGATGACAAGGAACCAACAAGTAGGTTTATTATAACTGTAGATGCAGTGGTTTTATGAACTTCTGATTTATTTAAGGTAAAAGAAATTGAATGTCCAGGAAAATATGTGCTGTCATCCGGTTTCTACTTAGAATTCTTGATATCCGAAGAAGAAGGCATAATTTTGAACTTTTTAAGAAAGGAGATGATGTGAATTTGAACATTCCTACCTGTGGAGTGGCAGAAACTGGTGAGTAGATTTTTTTATTTATGAAAAGCTCTTAACAATGACTATCTAGTATTGTTATCAAAGATTGTATAATTTAATTTCTATTTTTTTACTGGGCTCGAATATAAAATCTGACGAACGACAACTCTCAGAAGTTGAGAAACTTGTGCAAGCTAAGGACTAACGAGGTCTTACCTTTTAACGTGTGATTCCTAAATAATTGAAGATATGATATATCCCTTAACTTATTTATATTAACCTCATTCAGAGCTGGTGTAGTGGAATTTGTTTTAGAAATAATTTCAAAGTGAAAGGCATTGACATCAAGAAATTCTGTTGTGAAAAACAGAAGTTGCATCTGTTTATACAACCAACTAATCGTCAGCCTTTCCGGTTTCACATGTCCATTGTATCATTCTGGGAATGAAGCCCTATTGTTATTGTGTGTAAAAATGGAATATGGTGCTCAAAACACTCGAAACGTTGACCACTGCATACAGTGATTGTACTCCGGAGTCAGAAAAATGTTTACAAGTGGTACCTACACCCTTTCCACAGAAGGTCGAGAATATGTGAATGACGACGATCGTATGTTCACTCTTCATTGCTTGTTCGTAATTCTTGGCCAAAAACAACACCGAAATCATTCCTCAGCCACCATATTCACCGGACTTGGCCCCCTGTAACTTTTTCCGTTACCAAGATTGAAGAGGCCCATGAAAGGACGTGTGAATGACGACGATCGTATGTTCACTCATTGCTTGTTCGTAATTCTTGGCCAAAAACAACACCGAAATCATTCCTCAGCCACCATATTGACCGGACTTGGCCCCCTGTAAATTTTTCCGTTACCAAGATTGAAGAGGCCCATGAAAGGACGTGTGAATGACGACGATCGTATGTTCACTCACTGCTTGTTCGTAATTCTTGGCCAAAAACAACACCGAAATCATTCCTCAGCCACCGTATTGACCGGACTTGGCCCCCTGTAACTTTTTCTGTTACCAAGATTGAAGAGGCCCATGAAAGGACGTGTGAATGACGACGATCGTATGTTCACTCTTCATTGCTTGTTCGTAATTCTTGGCCAAAAACTTTACACATGTCGCCTAAAATATAATAAACTAATCTGACTTGGCATCGCAATTAAAAACTAGACGGTGGCTCACTATAAAATACTATTCTCAAACTCAAGTACAAAATGCTTTCTCTAAATTTATTTCTTGGCAAAAGAAATCTTCATCGCGTGCGTAGGCGTGATCTTGAATCCCTGCAGGGCATCTTTCGCTGCTCCGGACTGCATTTCGTTCTCAAACTCAACGAAAGCAATGTCGTGTCTGTTCGGCACCAAACGGACTTCTTTGAAGCCTGGGAACCTAGAAGGATATCACAAAAATGATTAGGCACAATCAAGTGAAAGGTTACATGTTGGAAGTTGTTTGTTTTTTTTTTATTGCACAGGATTACCCCTTTTATAATAGTACGAGTATCAAATACAATAATAGTACAACAATCAAATACAATAATAGTACAACAATCAAATACAATAACAGTACAAGCATCAAATACGATAAATATTTACATACAATTCAAAAATTAAAGAAAACACGGAAAAAGTAAAATTAGGGCAAAAGAATTAATGTCTGGATATGTGACAGCTGAATATTTATTGCAATATGATTAAATATTTGAATTTCTTTCAACTGGAAACTTGTTTGTATCAGGTTAGAAACAGAAAACGGTTTTTATTTGAAAATTGTGGAAGAAGAGATCAGCTTGGCCTAGACCGCTGGAGCATTTAGTCATTAGAGTTGTGGTTGTCTTAAAGGGGTGATATGACTTGAATAACTTTGTAAAATTTGAAGTTTTGTTATCTATCAGGAGTAAATATGAATGAAATTCACTTAAATGGTTCACTATAGATCAATTAAGAGAAATTCCCAAAGAATAACATAATAATAATAAATGGTCTTTATTTTACATGGCGGAGTTTAGCAAAGCGCTATTCTTCCACACAACCACGTTTGAAAAAACAGAAACATTACAGAAAATAAATGGCAATTTCAGGAAAATAGTAAAAGGAAATACAAATGTTTTTGTTTGGATCACTGTTGCCTGAGCATTTCAGTTTTAAGTTTACTTTTCAATAGCGGTAGTGATGAATTTTTCAAAGATTCACTGAATTAATTACACATTGTTACAGCATGATACGTAAAGGATCGTGCTGTTATGATTCGAAATGTCAAAATTATTTACCAAATAAGTGGGTTATTGTGTTTTTATCAGTTTGTGAATGAAACAGGCGAAATGCAACTCTCTTCTGTTTTGCATTTTTAATCAATTCAGTTGATTGATTGAAGGGGGCACATGATCGCTGTAATTCAAGCTGAATATTAGTCTAATGCAGGCGTTCTGTACTTTCTGAATTCTTGCAGAAGTTATGGAATCGATACAAGGGCCGTAGATGACATCGCAATCATTAAACACAGAATCTACTGAGATAGTGTCTGTTTGAATACAGATGTTTAAGAGTACTGTACGACCTTTGAAATAAGAGTATTGACTTGATGAGGCTGTAGTCTATATGAAGTCCTAAACATTTTATTTTGTCATTCAATTCCACAGAATGTACATCAATATACAAATCGATATTATCTATGGTCCTTCCACGATCTTTGGCATAACCACACAATCAAACAGTCCAAGCTGATAGTATTGAATAGCTAGGTCAATAATATGGTTTTTGAAGCGGCAACTGATACATTGAAGTTTATTCAAAGAGTTAGCTAATCGAAAAGTTCTGAGAATGAAGATGTTGGTTGCATAAGTAATTGAATCTGTGAAAAAAAGCACAAAAGGTTTGCAAGTGTCTAGTTGAACTGGGGACACTAGAGATAATGTGGGGAGAAGCTCGGTGCTGTATTGGGTCTTTATATTTTCTGCGTGCCTCGAGAGAAGGCATGTTCCATGTGCGTTCTTATGCAACATAGTCGTGGTATACACCCATCTTGGAAGCAATATATCTAGGTGGGAAATTGTGCTGTAAACCCTCGAGTTTCACATTAGTGTAACGTAATTGGGGACCAAGCTGTAGAACAATAATAGAGATGAGAGCTTACCAGGGAAAAATAAGGAGATTCAATAGCAACGATGTTAGTAAAATCACGTGTGGTTCCGTTTGTGAAGCCAAGCACTTTCATAGATATCTGAACTGCAGTGGAAATGTGTGGCGTGATAGCTAAGTGTGGTGTTTAGGATCACACCTGGATCTTTAGTTTCAGAAGTAGAATGTTTGGTCAGATTATTCGAAAGCGATTAGCCGTTATAAAAAAATATATTGCTGAAATTCCCTTAAAAAAAGTTCTTGTCTTAAACTGAATTACCAGCATTCAGGACAACTTGGTCAGTTCAAGACTAACCTAATGTCTTACTCTTCCATTTGAACAATATTATCCGGTACGCTAATCAATCACGAAAGCTCTAGTGCGCGAGAAAAGCCAGCTACAACTCACAGATGACTAAAATTCTTGTTGAACAACTTACTGGTTGAACAGCATGGACAACATCATCTCGTTCGTTTCGTCAGGCAAATTGGTAAGGAAGAGAATTTGGTTAGGAGGCTGTTCGGCGTTAGCTCCGCCAGGCACCCTGTTGGGGTCCTTGGTCTTCTTCTTCTTCCTTGGTGCTTCTTCGTCTTTAGCCATCGGTGGTCGGACCTTCTTCGGTCTTTCCTGATATGTACCCTTCAGCTTGGAGATGACGTCCGAATCCTGTTTGGAGTACTGTATGCGCTGTAATCAACAGAAAGGAGAAAACGTGCCTGGTGCAATGCACAATTATTTCACTTGAGACGATTCTCATCAACATGATGAAATGGGATTTACAGATGAATGAAAACTCTTCAGCTCTATTTGTATAAATTCAAAAATATTTCACTTACCATCGGTTTGTCATAAAACGGAAACCCTTGCATTGACCTCAAGGCATTGGTAGAGCTTTGGATTTCTTTGAAAATAACGAAAGCTTGTCCTTTCATTTTTAAAGTTTTCAGTGCAACAATATCTAAGATCTGTCCAAACTGTGAGAATATAGCATAGAGAGACTTCTTCAGTTCTTCTTTCTTCACTTTCTCGTTCAGATTATTGATATAAATCGTATTATTTGGCCTAATATCCATCTGAAATAAATGAGGTTAGCTTGGTCGACGGGATTCTTTTTTATTGTAGTTACCTTGTGTGCGCTGGTTTTCAGTCAATAAATTGAAAATATTCTCCGAACTACTCACTTTCAAGCTATAATATTCAAAAAAATGGCGTTTTTCGTTAATATCGGTAACTCAAGCCAACCTACCTTCTTGTGAAACTGATGTTTTACATATAGCCTTGAGCAACCTTTTTCTTCTTGTTTGTTCTGTTGTCTTCTTTACCGGCCTTGCCTGTCAGGGCTCTGCGGCCAAGACTTCATTGTAAGGTGGACCTCAGAAGAAGAAAAAAGTTGAGATGTACTTTTATCCTTGTTTATGTTGAAAAATTATCTGGGGGTTGTTTTTTGTCATATCGGGTTTTTGCAGTACATCAGACTCCAACCAACAAAGTTTCCATCGATGTTTCTGCAATATCGGTAACAATATCACTGAAATATAGATGTCGTAACTCACATTTAACATAGACGTTGAGGAGACATTTATCAGAGATATTATTTCAAAGGAGGTTGCAGATGTCTCTGTATCAATGCAATAACTTGTTAATATCACCAAGATGTCATTAAAATATATCTCATAATAGCATGCATAGACAGCGAATAACTTTTGGCGAGAAAGTCTCGATCTGGTTCCATCAATGAGCTGGTTAATTATTGTTCGTGGAAAACAAGGGCCAATGACATAAAACAAAGAAAACAGAAAACACAAAGGGATTCAACATGATGCAAAATCAGTAACGTCAAAATGTTGATGGATATTGTAGATTTGACATATGTTTATCATTGTAAGGACTTCATTTTCAGATCAGGTGAATTTTCAAATCAGGTGAATTTTCAAATCTGGTGAATTTTCACATCCAGGGAAAAATCGAATGTCTCTTTGTGTTTTTAAAGTGAAACTGAGAGATCCAATTTTTCTTTCGAAGTGAAAATTAACCTTATTCGAAAAGAGAGTCTCTGATGGTTGAATATACATAACATCAGTTTCCACGGGTAGCAGATTTCATGACTCGAGAATCAGGCCTCAAAACGATTAGTTCAGGTTTCGCACTGTGAATTGTCTAAAGTGACGTCACACTTAAACTGACTGATACTATGGTCATCAAGTCGTTTTCTAGAAGTAAACTGTATCTTCAGAGGGTCCTTAGGAAATTTATTCTCAACTTTTGCCCAAATTTTCGTTTCTAAAGAGCAAAACCGTGACAGATAATGCTTTGTTCGTTGGTAAAGAGCATCACAAAATCATTATTTTTATCGTCACTACTAACTAAACTGGTAAAATATGTTTCGAAACTGTCTTCAAAATTGAATTGAATCCAGTTAATGGCAAAGTGATTATTGGTTTATGTTCTTCGAGTTTTGGATATGTCATGTCTAATTTAAGATCTGAGCACCTCATAAGTTACAAACGAACAATGTATTGAAATGATAGTACTGACACAGAATTTACTGTTCTGTGGTTTTGACGTTTTGAGTTTGATCAGTTGATTAGTTGAAAGTTGTAATTAAAATTATTCTAAGTATCCGATTTTACCCAATCTTTTCGAAGTCGAATAACTTCAAAACTTGCGAAATGAAAATAACAGTGAAATACCTAAAAGGTGGAAGTATTCTAGTAGACGTCACCGAAAAAATGACCATTCTGGAACTCAAACAAAAAATTGAAAAGGACTTCAATATCGCTGCTTCACAGCAGACTCTCATCCTGCAAGGAAAATGCCTCCAAGACGACAAATCCGTAGAGGATTATCCGAAAATCAAAGACGGAGCCAAAGTGTACGTTGCAATAAAGAAACCAGAGACTCTCATGTCAGTGCTGAACGTCTTCTTGCGGAAGTACTATTCAGAAGAGCAGTGTAAGCTTATTATCGATGAGTTCATGAGGAACTTTCACTCCAAAGTGGATAGTTTGAGCTTGGACGATCTAGAGCGAATTGCAGAGTCGGAGATTCAAGGATAGTGTAGATAGTTTTAATGTAATTTTGTTAGGTTGATATTTTTAAACCGAGGTATATATATATAGTGAAAACATGATGATTTTGAGGAATATTTGTATAATGTGATATACTCAGCTGTAAGTAATCTATAATTTCCAACATTTGAATTGAGGTTATGTGCGAGAGGATTTTTTTATGTAGTACCCCTTCAAAAACCATGATTTATATTAACTTTCCACCAGATTTTCAGTATAGTAACTGACTAGACCGACAATCTTCCAAATTTCTAGTCTATAACAATTTTTGTAATAATATTTATCAGCTTTATATTTTTCAAGTTTAACTTATCAGAAGTAATACTTTTTACGTGTAAATGAAACTGTCAGGTAGAAGAAGGGGCTTTATTCAACTTCTATGAAATGATATTTCTGAAAAAATTGGAGGAGAAATACACAGAATTTAGCTTTCAATTTGTTTTTTGTAGTTATTACAAGTTCCTGAATATTTATGGTTTCTATATTATTCAATCGAAAATGGAATTTGAGGATTATCGAAACGTGAAACTCCAGTAATGTGTTTTGTGACAGTTTCCTATTGGCTCAAAGAGGCCCTTACTGGGAGATTTTTTATCCAGGTCTTGAACATCGTAAAAATACACACATGAAAACCTCAAGTTTGAAATCCTTCATAGAAGTGAAATAATCGCTACTCTGGAATTAACAAATATTTGCCACTGAATTGGGAAATTACCATAAATTGAAATCATTTAATTGTTTTAAAAAAACAGAAGAGAGTTTAACTAAATGGAAAGGGGGGGTCTTGTGTCACATCTTTTTGAAGCTCCTGACGAATGCTTCACAACCCTAGAATATATAGAACCTTGCCTGTCAGACCATTCAGGTCAGTATACACCAGAAATTCTGGCAATACTCTACAGAGATGTATCACAGACAAAGGGATTACGAAACTAAGAAAGAACTTATCAATAATAGATTGGACTATTTACTTTAAAAACAGGGACATAAATTCCCTTGCAAATTTTATGGTTGAAAACATATTTCCCTTGAGAAAACGATAAACCTCCAGTATCGTGGTATAATAACTCGCTGAAAGAAATGAGAAAAAAACTAACTGAGATAAAATCCATTTGTAATATTAGCAGAGATAATCATCATTGGAATATCTATAAAAATCTGAAATCTGACTATAAGAAACAATTAACATACGCCAAAAAAGTGCAAATGATCGATTTCTCGCTTCCTCGGATAACAAATCAAAAGCCTGTTGGCGAGTTGTGAACTATGAGAGGAACAAAAAAGGACTCAACCAATTAAATATGAATATAACCCCAGATGATGTCAATGAATTTTTCATAGGAATAGCAGAAAATATAATTAACTCTTTACCGCAAATATCAGACTCTGAATTATTTCAGTTCAAAAAATTTGCGGCCCCCGCAGGCAAATATTGAAAGTTCCGCCATTTTGTAGTAGTTAGTTGAAGATATTGACATTATATTCTAGGGTTGTGAAGCATTTGTCAGGAGCTTAAAAAAAGTGTCTCAAGTCCTCCCTTTGCATTAATTTTTTTCAAGATGGCGCCCTGGGGTAGTACTATCAGGAGTTCTTATAACAGTTATGCGCCGCTTGTGAGAAGTAATGCAGTATTTTGGAAAAACAAGCTTTAGCATCACAATAATCTACCTGCTCATTCCTTGTTCGTAATTTTTGGCCAAAGACAACACCGTCACAATGCCTTAGCCACCGTATTCACCAAATTTGACCCCCTGTGACTTTTTTCTGTTCCCAAGATTGAAGAGACCCATGAAAGGACGGTGTTTTGCGACGATTGAGGATATAAACAATTGTTTGTTAATCATTTTTTTTTTTTATAATCCAGTGTCCATACTGAGAAAAATCCATTTCAGATTCCAGTTTTTTGTAAAGCAATACCTATGATTGTTCCAGCAACCAAGTTTTCGAAACGAAAAAAAGGTTTTCCACAAAACTTAATCCCAAAAAAACAACGTTATAATTCTCATTTCTGACAACGTTCACAGTTTCACCTCTAGTCATGGCTTGATTCAACACTGTACTAACAGGGGGCAATATCCCCGCAACAGAAAAGCAGATAGACCGAAATAAAATGAAACGAACAAGTTCCATAAATAATTTATTCGCTCCATCACTTCTGGTTAGTTATTTACATAAAAACAGTATATACAATAAATTATAAACGTCATTCCTCGGGATGTCTCACTCTAGAAGCTGCTCCAAGTTGTTATCTTGGCTGGTAATCACAAACTATTCCATTTTTTTAATTTCATTTTCCTTACTTTCTTACCGGGGAAATTCAAGAATATCTGATACATTTTCCTAATAAATAACAAGCAGTTAGCAATCGTGAATCGTTTTGATACACAGAGCAAATAAATGAAAGAAATTTATACAAAAAAAAGCTTGTAAAAGTGCTTCTCAATAAATGTATTTCCAAACCCAGAGAAGTACAACTTTGAATTCCAAAACCCAAGTTATTTACATTTTCAATTGGACAAATACACCAAATTCGTAGAAACAAAAACCTAAGTCTACGTTGAAATTCCTAAATGCTAAACGATTTTATACAGATCATTCAAAAAACTAGGATACTATTTCGAAATCGTATCCTCTCTCATTCCATTATAATCTAATTCGTTCGGAATACTTTTTTTTTGGTCCATCTACTACTTTTTATCCTTCATGTCTCAATAAAAAATATAAAAGGAAATAACAAACAATGAAAAACGTATCTGCAGTCTCCCAAAATCATTTTTACACTAAAAATAACAGATAATAAGTATAGAAGATCATGTACTCAACTAGTCATCTATACACTATCAATGTAAGTTATATGATATGCTTTGTTGGAATAAATTTCAATTGTACATTGAAAATTCTAAACTAGACTTTGCTAACCCAAGTTATCTGACAACAGTATATCCAATATATGCCACATACCAAAGAACCCAGAATCTCCGGTACATGGGACTGCTTCGAGCAAATGGTCAAACTACAGTCCACATTCAATTGAAATGTTCAGGCAAAATGGTTGAAATCCCCTCAGAATAATTCGTTTGGCCTGCAAGTTCACCTGACTTGATCCTCCCAGAATTTTTTCACCAATAAAAATTACAACAGTGTTGTTACAGAGGTTCCCCTGTAACAGTACGTGGTAACAGTACGGGCCAATCAGAACGTCCCAGCAAAACAGCGAACCAATCAGGGATGAGCACCGCCCATACCGTCATCCCCGCCGCTTTTCCCCACCACCCTCTGAAAGTACAAATACGAGTGAACAAGTAGCTCGCCAGTCAGTCGTTGCTGAGACTTGAAAGTACAAATACGAGTGAACAAGTAGCTCGCCAGTCAGTCATTGCTGAGACTTGAAAGTACAAATACGAGTGAACAAGTAGCTCGCCAGTCAGTTGTTGCAGAGACTTGAAATTACAAATGCGAGTGAACAAGTATCTCGCCAGTCAGTCATTGCTGAGACTTGAAAGTACAAATACGAGTGAACAAGTAGCTCGCCAGTCAGTCGTTGCCGAGACTTCGAGATATAACTTTGCTTCTCGCAGTAAACGTCCGTACCGCTGATGATGTCTGCAGCAGTAGTGGAAGAGACTTTTGGTACTTCTGAGAACCTTCGAATGAAACTCTACAAACTTGACCACTTGCTCGAAAACACCCATCGTTCAGCCTTCGAGTCTATCACCATTTCATTTCAAGCAACATCTATTAACACCGAAGAAACACCTGCATACGTCTAGACATTGCCTAAGAAGAATGTATTAATCATCATCTATAACGAACCCTGTTCTCGCCTGCTGCGAATGCTGGTTCCTCTGCAGGATGCTCATGCACTGCGTCAGGCAATGCAGAGACGCTGCCGAAGTCGCTTTCAGCAGCAGCATGTTGGGATCGATGGAGAATTTGCTGCCGGAAGATTCGATCGTTCGGCAGAGCGCTGAATCTGCTTGCTCGGTCTGCTGGAGTTGTGATCGGACGCACCCCAGGGCGTCGAGGACTGCCAGGTGTTCTCTGGGAGGTAGCGGAGGACTGTTGGCACTTATAGCCTGAAATGATTACAGTTTATCAACCACTTTCGTACAACATGATATAGTTATGACGGTTCAGTCAATGCACAAGGGACAATTCTTGAAATTACAACTTCAATTTAGAAATGTTGACTTTAATTTCGAGTTTGAAGTCGTAATTTCGGGTTAAAAAGTCGTAATTTAGAGTTGATAGTCGTAATTTCGTGTTCAAAAGTCGTGATTTCGAGTAAACAAGTCGTTACAGTCAAAATATTGGCATTAAAGTCGTAATTTCGGGTTGAAAAGTCGAAATTTAGACCTTGATCTCAAAGTGATGACTGTAAACTCGAAATTACAGGTTTCAACTCGAAATTACGACTTTTCAACTCAAAATTACGAGTTTGAGGTCAAAATACTGAGTTGAAAATCGTAATTTTAGTTACAGTCGTAATTTTGAGTTGAAAAGTCGTAATTTCGAGTAAACAAGTCGTAATATCGAGTTAAAAAGTCGTAACTTCAAGTTGAAAGTCGATATTAGTCAAAATTTTGGCATTCAAGTCGTAATTTCAAGTTAAAAGTCGTAATTTCGAGTTAGAAAGTCGTAATTTCGAGTTAGAAAGTCGTAATTTCTAGCTAAAGAGTCGAAATTTAGACTTCAATCCCAGAATTTTGACTGTAATCTCGAAATTTCGAGTTTTCAACTCCATTACGGCTTTTTAACTTTACGACTTTTCAACTCAAAATTACGACTTTTTAACTCAAAATTACGACTTTTTAACTCAAAATTACGACTTTGAATTCGAAATTCAGACTTTGAGCTTGTAAATTCAAATTAAAAAGTCGTAATTTCGAGTTGAAAAGTCGTTATTTCGAGTTAAAAGGCCGTAATTTTGAGTCAAAAAGTAGAAATTTCAAGAGTACAGTCAAAATTTTGGGATTGTAGTTTAAATTTTGACTTTTGAACTCAAAATTACTGTTTTTTAACTGGAACTTTCGATTTTTAACTCGAAATTTCGACCTTGAACTCGATATTACAACTTTTTAACTCGAAATTACGAGCTTAACGTCAGAATTCCTTGTTCAAAGTTGTGATTTTGAGTTAAAAAGTCGTAATTTTGAGTTGAAAAACCGTAATTTTGAGTTAAAAAGTCGATTTGAAAGATTCACAAACAAAAAATAAAATTTCAAGAAAAAATTTATTCTGAACTCACTTCAGTTCAATTCAGTAAATGTTCGAATTAGAAACCATTCACTTCCTGATAATAATGATATGTGTTTCCAAATTCATTATAAACTGTTGCTGGTGTAGTTTTGTTAGGAGCATCTCTTGTTATAACCATAAGCTCTGGAATAGACCGCGGTTGTGTTACGTAAACCTTATCATACGTCATATCAGACAATGCAGCAGGTCATTATAAGGGACCCTGTTTAGCTATACATTGGATAGACAATCGTCGTTTAGACACTTTGAATCCAGCTCGTCGTAATAAAGAGGTACCTCATTGCTGAAACTCAATATTAGTTGAAAGCTCATTTGTGTTTGACAATTTTCCAAAGTGGTAGACAGACAAACATGATTTCTTAGAAGAGCCCACTGGATCACCCCGTCCCACCATGAAAGTTGATTTTGATATTCTTTCAGCTGCCATTATAGTATCAACTTCAATGAGGAAGCTTCTATCATCAGTGTAGGTGGCAATTGAAGATGAAGGATGGCGGAAAGATTTCAACATATCATTTATATACACTACAAAGAGTGTTGGGCCAAGTACTGGTCCCTCAGGCACGGCCGCAATGACAATTTTTGTGTTTAACACGTTTTCACGGAAAACGTTCCATGAACATAATTGGGAAATGCATGTCTACCATTTTAGATTATCTGATATGCTTCTACAGTATACTTCTATCTAGTCTTAATCCTTCAGTTTATGAATGAAAGAATCTGCGATTGGGGGACCTCACACTACAACAGAGAACATACTTAATGCCTGATCCGCTGCTGATCGATTCGCTTCATTGAGAAGCTGGACTTATTTGGTAGAGTTTGGGTAGTTTGCTCACGTTTGAGTTAACTTAATGTTACCTACCTTAGTGTGTGACTCTGCTACAGCCCTCAGTCCGTTAACCCATTCCTGCCTGGCCCTAGCGTCCACCGCCCTCAATTTCAACATATCGCCCGATGCACAGTTCACTGTAAACGTTTTGGAGTCCTCATCGCTTGGACATATCACAGCTCCGGACAGGTGAAGACTGCCTCTAGGTACGGTTCCCTCTGGTTTCTCTCCCTCACAAAGATAATAGTGTAAAACTCCCGCATTGGCGTCGACCAGGAAATACCTGTACTGCCAGCCTTTCATGACATTAGTGTACTTGTAAAGCTGTCCCGAAAATTGTCTCGGTTTGGTGTGTATGTCCATAACTGACTGAAAAAGAAATGGAAGTTGGAGTTGGCTAAATGGAACACATACCGAGATTTTTAAGAATGATTTTTTTTGTGTTGACAGGAAAGTTGAATATTAGTTGATTCCTGACAGAGACGCCTCGTTTTTGATTTATTATTTAATAAAAAACGTTCTAACCTCAACAAGCCTGTTGTGAGTCATTAACAGGAATGCCAATTACTGAAATTATCAATAGCAACTTGGTCAAACTTGGGTCAGTGTTTCCAATAAAGTTCAATTCGCAGACCCCCGACTTCATTGTTTAACCTGCTAAACAATGAGCTGATACTAATCTGTATTTTACCTTATCTCTTAAACACATTAAAAAAGCAAACAGTTTTTGTAATAAGTATATCGCTCCTATTTTTGTCAGATGAAAGGTGTGACAGAAATCAAGTTTGAATAATAAGGTGTGTTCGATTTTTAAAATCGGTGCGGAGCGAGCAGGTGCAGATTTGATACAGAGACAACGACTCTATAAGCCTGTTCTGGTTCTGTGGCCGGACTGTTCCTAACAGACTACTGAACATGTTATCGCTTGAACCCTTTCAGTCTACAACTGACTCAGTGATTTTGGATGATTCGAAACAGTACAAACGGAGAACCAGAACAAACCTGATATATCTGGAGTTACAACTTGGCAGTTGTGGTATTATTTGTCATGAAACACCGTACCTTAGTTTTAATATATGAACGGTAAATTATTCAATCTTGAATTCGAACAACTTTGTGGAAAACAGCGCCACTCGTGGTAATTTTACGAACATTCACAAACACCAAGCTACCACCATTATTATTTATCAGTGGTACTAATAAAATCGTGTCCTGTGATGAGTTATGAATGATATTCAAAAAAATCACTTTATATTTGTACCCAGTGACTAACGGTAATGGTAACAATCCTTACAAAAGAACGAATACTCAAATTTTGACAAATGAAACGCCCTCTCCGTTAAAAATTAGAACTAGGATTACACTGGTGGTTTCTGCATTGAACAAAGATGTCGCCCACTACACCGTATGGAACAGAACACTGCAATATTATTTTGACAGTTACGAATGATCTTCTTTCAATAGACTACAGATGGACATACTTATCTCTAAATGTCAAAGTGAGTAATTGTTGATTTACGACTCGAGTTTGGCAAAAATATTTCATTTATTGTGTTTCCTGGAAAAAGAAAATCTGACTTCTGATACCAAACTACAAATTTCGTACAATTATCTGTTAATATTATGGAAATGTTGCGTTCGATTCGCAATGTGAGTACACTTTGTCTTGGAAAATATATAGTAAAGTAAGATTCTCATTGTTTCAGAAAATATATCAGGGCGCAAAAGAAATGTGTACCTGTAGGAAAATGTTTGGATCCTTAAATTGAATGTTAGTTTTTCATACGCTGCTATTGGTGAGTATATTTCATAATATCTAAGTAGTTATATGGGAGGATTATTTTTAAATGTCAAAATATTGATTGGACGTTTCTGATAGCAAGTTTATTCAACACAATTCCTGAAACACAAGTTTTCAGTAAGTCAAAATGCATGAGGATATTTTCAGCATCTTGATTAAAGTTGAGGTACTTTGAAAATGCTTTTTCAAATTCGAATATCTGAACCGCAGGACTGAAGATGCGAAAAACTTTTTCTTGATTTCATGTTCAGCATAAATTTCTCACCTGTTTTCGTTGTGGCAGAATTGAAAATAAATATCTACATATTGTCTATACAGGGTCATTCTTGACGAGGGCTAGTTACATTTTGAAAAGTGAATCCATTTGAAAGCTGCAAATTTGAGACAATAAATGATTGATATCTACGTAATTTTCTACTTGTTCGAAATATTTTCTATGTTATCGGTTATACTGGAAGTTGGTAACAACTTGGTTGTTATAAGAACGCAGGAATGAAAGGTTTTAGCTTTCTACTTCTTCATCTTTATACAGTGTCATCCCCAAAGTATGCACTATATGGGAAACTTATTTATTGAGGGTTTTTCGAAAAAAAGTCATTCTTGATAAAAGTTTGTGTATCCCCGAAAACTAAACATGCACCAACAAAATACAGTAAAACACACGTTATATACGAGGAGTCTTCAAAAATTTCATGGAGATTCAACTTAAAACATTTATTTTGGACAAGAAAATCTCCAGGAAATCAATTAGTTCGTTCAGAAATATCTATTTTATTTTGTTGTTTTGTGATTTGATATTATTGAATATTAAGTTTTTGTTACAATACTGTATAATTTTGAGTAATTTTCGGTGATAACAAAAAAAGAAAAATAACTTTGCACCAAAAACTTCGAAAATTTCATTTACTTTACAAAAAAATTGACCGTGGTTAACACGACAGTTGGGTAATTTGTAATATTACAGGCTTTTAAAGTGAACCGTCATATATAGGATGCTGTCTATTTATAGTTTTGGCAAAAATTTGTTTTTCGTAGTCCTCATTTTAAAAAATGGGTAAAAAATAAAACTTCACTTAAATTACCATGACTTCCAATCGAGATGTATTTTTCAATGTTAAACAACTTTTTTAAATAACATTTTCCGAAATTTTTCAAAATATTTGAGGGCTCCTCGTATACTACGTGTGTTTTACTGTATTTTGTCGGTGCATGTTCAGTTTTAGGAGATGCACAAACTTTTATCAAGAATAACTTTTTGTTGAAAAACCCTTAATAAATAAGTTTCCCATATGGTGCATTCTTTGGGGATGACACTGTACAAAAAAAGTGGAAATCTTCTAAAGTAAGGAAGGAAGCGATACATTTCAAAAAGATGTTCATTGTAGACTTTTCAAAAAGTCATAACTACTTTTCTCAATGGAAAATTTCATTTTTTTCCGTGTGGAATGATTATTGGGAAACTTGTACCTCATGGAATACTCACGGATTTTCACGACTTTTTCTGTGATGGTAGGAATTCAGAACACTTTATTTTTTGTCGCACTCAATTAATTTTTCAGATATAGCCTGTCAAAATTTATATGATGTCATATTTCACCTTCTTTTTAAGCAATATGATCGTACTTTTTTTTATCCCTTTTCATTCACTTATTGCCAAGTTTCTTGAAATTAGATTGAAATTCCATAATTTGTCGGTTGCTCAGGTTTATAACACAAATCACTTTTTCTGCATAAAGTTTCACTCTTGGGATTAGAAAATTCTCTACCAACCAAAAACAATGTTTTCAATAATCACTTAGAAACTTATAATGTTTTTGTATTTTTCAATTTCCATTTGATCGAGACATTTCTACCTAAAATGAGAACAATAAATGACATGGACGAATAGAATATTGAAAAATATTGATGTGGGCATTTGTTCAACTGTTGGTGCCTGGTGGCGCACGTTTGTCTTGTCAAGCGGTTTTTTTTTGTTTAGCTGTCCTCTCACTAAATTTCAATATTTCAGATGTCAATTGTAAAAAAAAATTAATGTTATTTAATGAGGTACTCGCGGATTTTCACGATTTTTTCTTGGATGATACTGCATGATGGTAGGAATTCAGATTACTTTTTATTTTTAATCGGACTTAATTAGTTTTCCAGATATAGCAGGTCAAAATTTGTGTAATGTCATATTTTACTTTTTTCTTTAGAGCAAAAAACGATTGCAATTCATATATTTTTTATTTACAAATCTATTTCCATATCATCGCACCTTTTTCTGTATATTGTCTGAAATACATGTGGTTTTCAATTTAGTACGTCAGATTGGATGTTCAGAACTTAATCTAACTCGACCTAACCGAACGCAACCCAACCCGGCCTAACCTAACCCAACCCGATCTAACCGAACTAAAACAGACCTAACCTATCCCAACTCGACCTAACCTATCCCAACTCGACCTAACCTAACCAAACTCAACCTAATCTGTCCCGACCTAACCTAACACGACCTAATCTAATCTAACTTAACCTAACCTAACTCAACCTAACCTAATCTAACCCGACCTAACCTAACTCGATCTATCCCAACCCAACCTAACCTAACTCGACCTCACCTAACCTAATCTATCCCGACCTAACCTAACTTGATCTATCCCAACCCAACCTAACATAACTCGACCTCACCTAACCTAATCTAACCCGATCTAACCTAACTCACCTTACATAACCCGACCATAGATAACCTAACCTGACCTAACCTTACTCAATATAACCTGTCCCTATCTAACATAACGTGACCTAACCTAACCTAACTCGATCTATCTCAACCCAACCTAACCTAACTCGACTTCACCTAACCTAATCTATCCCGATCTAGCCTAACTCACCTTAACTAACCCCACCATAGATAACCTAACCTGGCCTAACCGAACCTGGCCTAACCAAACTCAACCTAACCTAACTCAATCTAACCTAACTCAATATAACCTGTCCCTATCTAACATAACCTGACCTAACCTAACCTAACTCGATCTATCTCAACCCAACCTAACCTAACTCGACTTCACCTAACCTAATCTATCCCGACCTAGCCTAACTCACCTTACCTAACCCGACCATAGATAACCTAACCTGGCCTAACCTAACCTGGCCTAACCGAACCTGGCCTAACCTAACTCAACCTAACCTGTCCCTATCTAACATAACCTAACCTAACCTAAATATAAAATCTTTGAAAAAGTATTTATCCTCAACATCTAACTTGAACTCCAAATTCTTTCTGTTGTCTTTGGGAAGTGACTTGGTGGTTCAACAGTGTCCAACCACGGCCCTGAACGTCTTGAACGTCTTCTGTTGTCTTTGGGAAGTGCCTTGGTGGTTCAACAGTGTCCAACCACGGCCCTGCACGTCTTGAACGTCTTCTGTTGTCTTTGGGAAGTGCCTTGGTGGTTCAACAGTGTCCAACCACGGTCCTGAACGTCGTCAGTTGTCTTTGGGAAGTGACTTGGTGGTTCAACAGTGTCCAACCAAGGCCCTGAACGTCTTGAACTTCTTCTGTTGTCTTTGGGAAGTGCCTTGGTGGTTCAACAGTGTCCAACCACGGCCCTGAACGTCTGGAACGTCTTCTGTTGTCTTTGGGAAGTGCCTTGGTGGTTCAACAGTGTCCAACCACGGTCCTGAACGTCGTCTGTTGTCTTTGTGAAGTGCCTTGGTAGTTCAACAGTGTCCAACCACGGTCCTGAACGACTTGTTGTCTTTGGGAAGTGCCTCGGTAGTTCAACAGTGTCCAACCAATTAAATTTTTGAAACATCTTCTGTGTCCATTCCAAACCTATTTGATGCAACGCATTACATTTTTTGGATCAGCCCAACAAAACAACCCAAGGAATTGAAAAAGAAATTGGAAATGTTATTTAAAAAGTGGTGATAACGTTGTTAATTGAAAGTGAATCACCTTTTATATAGGTCGATAGAAGGTGGGACACTCTGTATATCAAATTATGCTGGAAGGTTATTCGGATAAATCTTCCTCTGATTTTCTTTTACCTGAAAAAGAAATGATTTTTCTTTTCACTTTTTGTTCATCTGTATCATGATTATGATTTCGTTTTTTTCTGGAAAATATGTTATGTGATTAGCGAAATTTGCGTCGAGAAACAGAATTTTCGTTCTGGCGTGGAGAAGTGCTTTCAGCGAATGCCTAGTTTATCACCGCTAAAAAATTCAGTTATTAATTTGACAGCTGGCAAATTGAAATTAAATTGGATCTGTTTCAGAAGAAAATTATGAATTCATACGTTATTTTTTGGACGCAGTGTATGGAAATACACATGCACATTTCTCAAATTGAAAAATATTGTATATCATTTCGTAATGCTTATCGGGATTGGGCAAGCGGTTCATTTCTTTATTTTCTCTTTGCGGCAGATATTAAATTTCTATTTCGAACTCTTCTGCGTATATGAACACCGATTCTTCCACCAATTGCAAAACTCATTTATGCCAAAAGTCAAAGGTCCCGTTTCATCTCCGCAAATTGTTTATTCTTTCGAATTGGCTTTTAGTTCTTCATATGATCACAACACACCATAAGTTAGTATTTGATAAGCCGACTTGATAACCTTAAGTTTTTTGAAAGATGTATAATCTTCGTTTTTGGAATAATTAAGTGTTTCTTATCATTCACGATAATTATGTTCTCTGGAAATCGATATTTTCCCAAACACAAATATTATTTAATTGTCCCAATATTGTAATAAAGTCGTTTTCAAAGATTTCTGTAGTATGCCATACTAGCTTAGTATCAAGTCGTGATGTAACTTGGGAAAGGTAGTTGTGGTTGATCGGTGGTAGTTCATTGAACGTAGCAGAATTTTATTCACTGATATCTCTTTTTCGCATTGTTCACTATCGNNNNGTATTATTGTGAAAAAAGCGTGAGCGCTTTGTGCCATTTTTTTACATCAAGCGCCCGTTGTTTTTTTCACAATAATAACAGTATTTTTCGTT